CCTTGGGGCTCTGGCCCTTATCTGCTCTCAAGACTTGGGATTCTTAACCACCAAGCGACACCCAGGATTCTCAAGGGCCTAGAGTTTCTCTCTCTTTTTTAAAAAATTTTGAGAGAGAGAGCACCCACATGTGAGCACGTGTGGGGGAGGGGCAGAGAGAGAGGAGAGAGACAGAGAATCCCAAGCAGAGCCCGATGTGCAATTCAAATCCACGAACCACAAGACCATGAACTGAGCCAAAATCAAGAGTCAGACGCCCAATCGACTGAGCCACCCGGGAGTCCCGGGCTAGAGTTTCTCTTAACTTTGGAGGCTAGAGACCCCTTTAGGAATCTTACAAAACCAGGGGTTATTTGCACCCAAGGAAAACACACATATGTTCAAATTCTGTATCTATGTTCCAGGGTTCCATGTATATTTGTATATGTTAACTCTACACATACGAATGAATCCCAAATTATGCCACTCCCCCAGGCCTCTCTCCTGAATTAGATGTGTATATACCTGTACTATCCAATGTAACAGCCGTTAGCCGGGTATGGCTACGTAAGTTTAAATTTAAGTAATTAAAATTAAATACAATTTAAAATTCAGCACCTTAATCCTACCAGCTACGTGTCAAGTGCTCACACGTGGCCAGTGGCAATCCCAACACTGGACAGCACCGATGTCAAGCATTTCCTTCCTCACAGAACATTCTGTCTCCCAGCACAGCATGCTGACGTACACAGGTGCTTGCTGATCATTTCCACCTGAACGTCTGCTTGGCCCTTCCCCCTCCCGCTGGATGAGTCAGCAGCACTACAGGGACATTGAGCAACCTGAGAGGCTTATGGAAACGAGAGTCTTCCCGGTTCCTTGCTCGCAGGGGGGCGGCTGGGGCAGGTGACTCAGCTGTAGGTCTGGTTGGTCCCGCTCCCCAGGCTTTTCATTCAGGGCCCGGACCGCAGGGGAGCAGACGCTTGGGACCTGCTCTTCTTCTTCTTTTTTTTTTTTTAATTTTTTTTTAATGTTTTATTTATTTCTAGGAGAGAGAGAGAGAGACAGTGTGAGCAGGGGAGGGTCAGAGAGAGAGGGAGTCACAGATTCTGAAACAGGCTCCAGGCTCTGAGCTGGCAGTCAGCACAGAGCCCGACGCGGGGCTCGAACCCACGAACCACGAGATCATGACCTGAGCCGAAGTTGGACGCTTAACCGACTGAGCCACCCAGGCGCCCCGGGGCCTGCTCTTCTTGATGTGACTTCTTCCACCTGCTCACATTCTGCAGGCCACGGCGAGGTTCAGGACCAAGCTCCAAAGCAGCGGATGGGTCGTAACACACACTGCCCGGGCGGCACCACGGGCAGGCAGGAAAGGAAGGAAAAGCTGTGAACGAATAACGGCATCTCCCAGAGCCCAGAACTACCCCCAGATCTCTTTCTCCTCAGCCATTTTGAGCCTTAATAGGCACCGACTCTTCCTTGGCCAGTCAAGATCCCAGCCATGAGTGTGCTGACCCACAAACCGCCTGGCCAGGGACATCCGGAGGCAGAGAGGTTGAGGCCTGCTTGGGCAAGCAGCTGTGTGCAGCCACATGAGCTGCTGGTGTCACACGGGGGTGGGGGGTGGGGTCAGAGTGCAGCCACAGCAGGGCCAGTGGCTCCTCCCCAGACCAGTGCGGTGCTGCGATCTCAGACTGTGACTCCCCAGATCTCCCAGCCGTGTGACAAATTATCCAATTTCCTCTTAAAATCCTCTTTGGACAACAGAAATGTGTGGCTTAAACAACAGATGTTTATTCTCTCTCAGTGCTAGAGACTGGAAGTCAAGGTCGAGGTGAAGACAGGGCTCCTTGCTCCTGAGGCCTCTCTCCTGGGACTGTGAATGGCATCTTCCCCTGTGTCCTTAAATGGTCATCCCCGTGTGCCTCTCTGTCCCAACTTTTTTTTTTTTTTTTTTTTTTTAAGACAGAGAGCAAGCAGGGAGGGGCAGAGACAGAGATCTGAAGCAGGCTCTGTGCTGACAGCAGAGAGCCCGATGCAGGGCTCCAACTCACAAACCAAGAGATCATGAGCTGAAGTCAGATGCTTAATCAAATGAGCCACCCAGGTGCCATATCCCAACTTCTTAGAAAACACCAGTCACATTGGATCAGGGCCCACCCTAATGGCCTCATTTTACCTTAATCACCTCTGTAAAAGCCCTTCACCAGATACAGTCACAGTGCGAGGGGCTGGGGGTCAAGGCGTCAATATGCGAGATTCAGAGGAACGCTGTTCAGCCCATTGCAGCACCCGTGCGCAGCCCAGGCCTCTGAATGAATCTGCCACCCTAGCCCCAGTTCAGGCTCATCATTCCTCACCAACACAACGGTCCCTCTAACTTCTTCTCTGGTCTTCCTACCCCCAAATCCAGTCAGGATGCTAACATCCCCCCCAAGAGTCTCATCCCCTAAGGACGAAGTTAAGTAACTGCTGATGTAATCAAGGCTGCAGACCTTAAACTAGGGAAAGTATCCTAAATCGTCCAGCTGGGCCCAGCCTAGTAACTGGAGCCCTTAAAAGCAGAGATTTCTCTGGCTAGAGGCAGAGGTGAGACCAAAGCATGGGAGAGACTCAACCGGCGGTCCCCGAAGGGCGCCAGGGGGCAGGGAATGCAGGCGGCGTCTGGAATCTGACCCACAGCAAGAAGGAGACAGGAAACTCGCCCTAAGACCGCATGGACCTGAATCCTACCAACACCCTGAATGAGCCTGAAAACCACTCTTTGCTGGAGTTTCCATAAAGCCTACCTGGCTGACCCCTTGATTTCAGCCTTGACGAGGCCACCGGACTTTTGAACTACAGAACCGTGAGATGATAAGCCTGTGTGTGGAGCCGCTTAGGTTGGTTGCATTGGTTTGTTGCAGCAACAATATGCAACACCATTATCTGTACAGCAGTGACCTTTCTAAAGTACAAATATGTTCATATCATAGCCTCCTGTTTAAAATCCTCAACGGGAGCGCCTGGGGGGCTCAGTCGGTTAAGCGTCTGACTTCGGCTCAGGTCATAATCTCCCCATTTGTGAATCTGAGCCCTGCATCAGGCTCTGTGCTGCCAGCTCAGAGCCTGGAGCTGCTTCAGATTCTGTGTCTCCCTCTCTCTCTGCCCCTCCCATTATTCAGGGTCTGTCTCTCCGTCTCTCAAAAATAAACATTTAAAATTTTTCAAAAATAGGGGCGCCTGGGTGGCTTAGTCGGTTGAGCGTACGACTTTCGCTTAGGTCATGATCTCGCGGTTCGTGGGTTCGAGCCCCGCGTCGGGCTCTGTGCTGACTGCCAGCTCAGAGCCTGGAGCCTGTTTCAGAGTGTGTGTCTCCCTCTGTCTCTGACCCTCCCCTGCTCACACTGTCTCTCTCTCTCTCCTAGAAATAAATAAAAAATATTTTTAAAAAAAATTTTTCAAAAATAAACATTTAAAAATAATAAATAATCCTTAACGGACCACCTAGACAGTGGTTCTCAAATTGTACGCCAAGGAAACCCAGAGCTCCACGCAACTGCATCTGGGGTACACAAGCATCTGATTCTCAATTCTTCGAAGTGTCCTTATCAAATCTGAACACACTGGTGACCACCAAAACGTGAAGCATTTCTGCCAGAGTTAACTCGTTTTTGTGCTGTCCCCATCCAGGAATAAAACTTGTATTGCTTCATCTGTTTAATTATGAAAGCCCTGGGGCGCCTGGGTGGCTCAGTTGTTAAGGGTCTGACTTGGGCTCAGGTCATGATCTTGCGGTTCGTGGGTTCGAGCCCCACATGAGGCTTTCCGTCATAATCTCCCCGTTTGTGAATTTGAGCACTGGCAACGGGCTCTGTGCCGACAGCTCAGAGCCTGGAGCTGCTTCAGATTCCGTGTCTCCGTCTCTCTCTGCCCCTCCCCTGCTCACACTCTTGTCTCTCAAACATAAATAAGCGCAAAAAAAAATATTAATTATGAAACCTGAGCTTGCCAAGTAGCGCATTTAACCGCAGATACAAGAAGATGCATTCGGGGAGCATTTGATTGCATTTGTTGCAGGCCTGCGCTAGCAAAAGGCAGAGCCTGGAAACAACCCACAAGCCCGTCGTCAACAGGTTGGGAGAGCGAGTCGCCATGCACAGTGCCGCTCCCAGCAGCTGCAAGAGCAGTGGAGGGCGATGCCCACGTGTGCCCACGGAGGGATGCCCCAGGGCGGTTGGTTAGTGAAAACAGACACGGTGGAGAAACGCGTGGATAAGGAAGGAGGGGTCGCCAATGTATACACGCATCGTCTTATATTAGAAAAGAATGAACTGGAAATGCCTGACTCCGGGGGGCGCGGGATGGGGATCCGGCGTCCCCGTAGGTCTGAGGCCAGGTGCTGGGCCCCTCTCCCCGCGTTGCCCGGTGCTGCCTCCCGTCGCGGGCTCGCGTCTCCAACCCCACCCGGCGCCGGGTCCTCCGCGAGCGCCCCGCCCGGCTCTCCCCGGGCCCAGCCCCGGCGCGGCGCCCCTCCAGCCCCGTCCGCGCCGGCGAGGGCGGGGGAAGAGGGGTCGTCACCGAGAGGAAAGTGCGGGCCGGGCGGGCGCCTGCGCTTCCCGGGCTCCGCGGAACCCGCCCACGCGGTCAGGCGCGCCTGGGACCGGCCCGCGCGGCCTTCTCTCCAGCCGCCGTCTGCGCGCTCGGCTTCCCGGGGCTGCGGGACCGGGGGCCCCAGGGACCGAGCGCGGGGGGAGCGCGGGGTAGGAGCGACGGGTCTCGGACCGGGAGTGGGGGGGGAGGGCGGCAGCGGAGAGCGCGGGCTCCTCGGCCAAGGGGACGCGGGGCTGGCGGCGCGAGGGGCGCCGACACCGTCAGGGGGCGCCGGCGGGCGGCGCGCGGGCTCCCGGGCCGAGGGGGCGGTGCCTCCCTAGCGCGCCAAGCCCCGCCCACGCGCAGGCAACGCCTCGCCCGATTGGGCAGCGCCGCCACGCCGTAGGGGCGGGGCGAGCGTCGTCGCGTCCGGGTGACGTCTCCCGCGGGCGTCGGGCAGGGTCGGCGGCGTCGGCAGCAGTGGCGGCGGCGGCGGCGGGTGGGAAATGGCGGAGTACTTGGCCTCCATCTTCGGCACCGAGAAAGACAAGTGAGTGAGAGGCGCCCGCCGGGGCTCCGGGCCGGGGAGGCCGGCGGGGCGCTCGCGGGCGCGGCGGCGGGGCGCAGGCGGCGGCGGGAGGCCCGGGCGGGCAGGCGGGGGGAGGGGCGCGGCGGCCCTTCCGGCCTCCGGAGCCGCGCGCCGCCGCCTCGTGGGCGCTGGGGCGGGCGATGGGCGCTCTGGCGGGCGGCGGGCTTCCGCTCGGGTGGCGCCGCCACCCTGGCCTGGGGTCTGCTGGGGACCCGGACCCCGCGGCCCCCGGCGCTTGTAGCCGTCTCGAGTTGTGTTGAAGTTGTCAGCGTTTTAGGTCATTTCCTTTACTTCAGCCTTTAATGGGGCGTCGGGCAAGTAGTATAAAGCCCGCCCGTATTAAATCGTTAGATAACTTAGGGCCCCGAGTGTTGGCGTTGTAACCACTTAACAAGCCTCTTGGACTGTTTAAGCGACGATCGGGTGGGTCGTGAGGACATTGGATGCGACGAAGTGTTAGGCTGAGCTGGGTTAACATAAACGACGGCATAACCTGATTTTAACGTACTCGGAGATGTAATTACGATATAAAAAACGTGGGGGTCCACCCCCCCTTTCATAGCTGCATGCCTTCTCTACTTAGTTGTTAACGTTAAAAGCAAAAAATTTAATTTTCAATTCGATTGCCACGTTGGGACGTTTTAATTCCCAGCGCATTGACTGCATTGTAGACTAAAGAGAGTGTCGTATTTAGGAGGATAATTCTTACTTTGAAAAACTGAAGATTAAGATCTGGCTTCATCTACTTTTGGGATAAGTAGTTACCATGTTTAGGATTTTTTTGGCCTGTTCGAGGCTTATGTTACTGGGTCTTCTTAACGGTAAACCCGAGTTTGTCATAGATAATGTTTTAATACCACTTTTTCAAACTTTTTTTTTTTAATCATTTTAAAGATTGTAGTTTCTACACCCGTCGTAGGGTTCAAACTCACAACCGCACGCTCCACTGACTGAGCCGGCCAGGCGCCCCTCAGACACTGTTTAAATCGTTTCTGTTCTCCAGGATGCAGCCCACCTTGTAAAATGTGTTGTTTAGAAGGGGGGATTGTTTTTTAAATAGCAAAACCATAAGACAATCATCAGTTCTCTCACTCCAGAAACACGTATTGGATAGTTCACCTTAAAGTCCGTCTCGGTTGACTTAAAGATGAGTAAGGTTAGGATCTTGTTCCCAAGGAACTTGTCCTGTAAAGGGTAAAATTAAAGTAAATACACTGAGGGTTCTTACCTGCAGGGGAAGAGGCAGGCGGCCTGAAATACGCATCGTTAGTTTCATCTCAAGCTTCTGTTCCATGAGGTTTTTCCCTTATTCTCCTAAAAAGCTGTGTTGGGTGGTGTTTCCCCTGTACTCTACACAACTTCCAGCTTAGAGGTTTATTCCAGTAATAGTTCTTATACTCCTGCTGCGAATGACCACATTTCAGCCTTTTAGGGTCTCATCATAAAAGGCATGGCTCTAATGCAGAAAACTTGATTTAATTTCGGTGACTCTTCTGTTATCTCGGGGAGACGTGGGGATTCAGGAGACCGTAGCAACTCCTAAAACATGAAGATGAGGATTCCTGCTAACTTTTTTTTTCCCCTCAAGCCAGAAGTGAAATGTAGGTGTGTGCCAATTAAAAAACTTGAGTTGTACATTTGAGGCTTTGGACGTTTTCTAAATCCAAGCAAAGGTTGGTCTTCTGATATCTTCTCTATGATAGTAAATCACACTTTTTATTTTCCGTCTTATTTCAGTAGTTTAAGTAGATGGCTCAACGTTTATCACCAGGAAAGTGTTGACTGATTAATCCCAAACTAATCGAGTGGTATGAAAGAAATGAGAGCCTCTCCGAAAGGTCAAGAACAAAGATGGTTTTCATTACATAGAGTAGTTGAGTATTGCTTGGGCCGGGGTTTCACCCCTTCTGGGGTATTTTTAAAATGAGCTCTTCAATTCGGGTGACTCTCTGAAGGTGGAAGTCATATATTCAAATAAGATCATGCAAAGTGAGGTCCGTAAGGTAAATTCGCAAATATATGTAGGAATCGTTTTCCTCCCCTGATAAATTCAGACTTTTCCATTTTTGTTGCTGCCTGCTATGTCGGTGGCTAATTGATCTTTGTTAACTATCACGTTTTGTTGAAGTCTTTGATTCTAAGTCTGGATGGGTTGTCTGAACTTGCTAAAAATTGGATCTACAGGGTAACCCTCCCGCCTGCCTCTGCAGGTCTAAATTTGAAGGGGCCCCATCCAGTAAGATTTCATAGTTCATCACAAATCTAGGCCACCTGCCATTGCTCTTTGATTTGATCCGGGTCACCCAGCTGTTGGAATGGTAGTTCAGCGAGGGCTCTGCGATGTGGACAGAGGCGGCCCTGCGTAGGAACAGACAGATGAACTCCCCAGGAGCTTGTTTTCGGTGTCTTGAAAGCAGGAGACTGGCTTACTGCAGACCTGTGTTTGGAAATTTCCTGTGGTCTGGTGTCGTGGACAAAGAGCTTGGACTTTGTTTTCTCTTTCAGTTAGATAATGATTGCGTTTAATGAGCGCTGTGTATGAAGCACACACACGCTGTATCTGAGTCTTGGGATGGTGCCAGCGTGGCATTTTCCTCATTTTACAGATGGCTCCTGGGACCAGGAGAGGTGGGGTGACTTGCCCAAGGCCAGGGAGCTAGTGGCAGAGTCAGGCAGAATCTCAGCCCTCACTGGGCTGTGTGGGTGTCCTCAGGAGAGAATTTCATCGTGGAACACTGGGGAACAGATCTGTTTTAAGTTAAATTTAGTTTTAAACTACATATTCCATTTAAGGGAAACCAATAGAGCTGAGAACCTAGTTGGAAGGGGAGTGGGTTTGGGTGAGCAGGACCCTGGGTGGGGTTGGAGGGAGCACTTTTCCCCTGAAAGAGTAGCGTGTTTGTCGGGCAGATTGAAGTTTAGTAATCCTGAAGTGCTGCCTGGAGGGGGAAGACACCTGCTCCCACAGAGAGCTGCACGTTGGCATTTCAGTGATGCCGGAGAAAAGCGGTTTGGTCGCACATGGCGCGGCGTTGACGTCGTTCCGTTGGTTCGGAACTGCCCAGCAGAATAACCCGCTCTTGTTTCCCTTACAGAGTCAACTGCTCGTTCTATTTCAAAATTGGAGCGTGTCGTCATGGAGACAGGTGCTCTCGGTTGCACAATAAGCCCACCTTTAGCCAGGTTTGTGTGTTTTTTTTCTTTTTTCTGTTTTCATGTAAATTATCAAAGCTTGGTATACTTTGCAGAGGCAGTTAATAATCTCTTGTGTATTACGTAGACTTTTTTCTCCAGTAGTTTTTTTCCCTTTTGTGTCCTGAGTTTGTTTAAATGAAAGGGAGGTGAACCACCCCAGCTGGAGGTCTGCGAGCCCAGGTCCCTCCTCCTATCGTTCTAGAAGCTTTGTGCAAAGAAGTGATTGGTCTTTGCTGCCTCACCCCCCTCGCTGCCCCTCTAACTGACATGGGTCCGGAGAGGCGGCCGTGCCAGCTAGGACCTCACTTGTTCCCGGGCACCAGTAGCTGCAAAGTGGGTTTTCTGCTCTTTGCTCTCTCCAGGCAGTGGAGGTGGACGGAGCCACCCATGGGACGTGCTGGCACAGTCTCAGCAGACCTGTCTTGCCGCACGTTCCCGGGTCCTCCAGGAGCCCTGGGGGCAGCCCCGCTGTTGGCGCCCTGGTCCCGGGGACAGCTGTGACACCATGTCACAGAAACATTAAAAATGAAACCACGTTAGAAGGTGGGCGCTTGCCTTCAGCTTTGTAGCCGGTCTCCCACGGCTGAGAGGTGCCTGTGTCCTCGGGCTTAGGTCCGCACTGAGTCCAAATCAGTCAGAAAGTGTGATTTTTGGAATTGTTGTTGTTGTTTTGTTTTTTTCCTTAATTGAGGAACAGGCCAGGATTTGCACCCTGCAAGTGATCACTGATGAATGAAAGGGAGAGAGCACCTGTAGTATGAGCAGAAAACTTCCGCCTGTGTTTATCCAAGCATTTAGAATTTGAAAAACTACACTTTAGTCTTTCCAGACTTTCCAGAAGGGGCTTTTGAGCCCCTTCTAACTGACTGTGAAGTCTGAGTGAGCATCCGCTAAGTATTTAGGAAAATCAGCCAACTGCTGTACGAGTCATTAATATCTTCTAGTTGAAGCCTGTATAAAACCCCATAATTTAATGTGTTTTCAGAAGAGGGTGATGGCTTCCTATCCCCCGTTATTCCGCTGATGCAGCGTGGTCAGTTTAACAAGAATCTTAATAACTTACAAATATGTCTCTTTTTCCAATTTCAGAATGTTGGAGAACTTGCTTTAGATTTTCTGTTGGCTGCAGTTTTTTGTTAGGTTTTTTTATTGTTTGTTTAGTTTTTCAGCAGTAGGCATAGGTGTGTTAGAGCATAAGATCAGAAAAGAGGAATTGTGTGGAAGCTCTTTACAGGGGGGTGGGGGAGGGACTCAGAGTAAGTGCGCCTGCTGCAGCCTGTTTCCAAGGGCTTCCATTTATGAACTAAACCTGAGCCGGTGGTCCTAGATTGGGCAGTAACCCAACGTCTAAAGTGTTCACTGAGGGCTTTGGTTTTAGGGGGTTACTTACAGACGGACCAGGTGTTGGACTGAGAGCAGCTTCCCTAGGTTATCCAGAGACACTTGGTTTATTTTCTTTCTGAGGCACTGGTCACCCCAGAATGTCCGTGTGAAGGGGATTTGAGCGCCGTGCCTCAGAGGGGACGACAGTTCCGTTAGCATCCGGTGGGATCAGTTGTCTGCGTTCACTTGAGCATCTCGTTTTGATTTGCTTGGATCGTTGCTTGGTTGTAGGGGATCCCGGCCTCGCCTGATTTTAATGGAACTGCATTGCCCCCTTTGAAATTTCTTTCACTGAACAGCCACTAGCCAGTGTCAGATGACCTGAGACCTAAAAGGCATTTCTTGTTGAATAACTGGGCTCAGTATAGTTTTCTGTCAGGGTTGAAAACTGAGTCAGGCCAGCTGAGGGAAAACATCCGAGGCCAAGGTCGGGTGCCCCAGGGCAGCACTGTTGGCCCGGGGAGAAGGGTCTGCGCATGCTTGTGCATGTGGGCTGGCCGTCAATATTTCTCCCATGCGGGACTCCCCACCCACACCGCTCCTGCCTTTCCGTGCAGCTGCACGTGAGCTGGCAGGTTTGTAAGACCCTCACAAAACTGCTCTGGACCTGTGTTGTTTTGAAACTGAACATAATTTTTCTAAATCACAGTTTATCGGTTCAGCTTGTAAAGCTCACTGTGGGTTTTCTTTTAAGCTTCTTGCAGTGATGTGGACATTAAGATTCATGTAATATATTAGCCTACTAACTTAAACATGGTTTGTTTTTTCAGACAACTTGATTTTAAGAAGAACGGTACAATGTAAGGTTTCAAGTCTGCCTGATCCAGTGTAAAGCACAAGGGCTAAAAGGATTTTTTTCCCTTAAAGGAAGGATCGGAAAAGAACAAACGTTTAAGCTATTGTATTATGTAAACAGAGGTCCCACCAAGCAGACCTAAGTGTGTGCTGGGTGTCCGTGGCAGTCAGAACCCATGCGGTGCGCCTGTTCCCAGGATACCGGACACCTTGACGGACTGCGTACAGCTCACTTACGCATTTGGTTTAAAAATAATGATAATTTTGTATGGGGAATGTGGTTGTGTGAATTTTTCGACGTCCTAGCATCCGCTAGCTTAAGGTGTGAGAAGATGTTAACGTTCTGGAACTCACTTTGCATCACAACACTTGGATAGCGTGGGATGACTGAAAATAACCAGTATGCTTCTTGTTGGTTGCTGGCTGACGCGACCTAAGTCACCGCTCAGACTCTGTTTTCATAATATGATGGTTTGGGTGTGCTCTTCCGAGGACAGGTGTCTGGCTTGTGGGAAGCAAACAAGGTTGAGCCATTTGCAAACAGGTTGTCTCTTTGCAATTGTCTGATACATGCACAGCAGCCAGTAGAATTCCCCTTTTTATTTTTTTTTCCCCGCAGACCATCTTGATTCAAAACATCTATCGTAATCCCCAAAACAGTGCACAGACGGCTGACGGCTCACACTGTAAGTCCCACAGTTGGAGAAATTTTTTTAAAACAATGGTGTTAAAGAGCCCACTCTTAATTGAGACAAATAATGTTGGCTTCTGAGCTGCTGACGTAGGGCTGTTGCAAACAGGACAAGGTGATGGAGGGCCTCGGCGCCCGCGGCAAGAACCTGGTACTTGGCCACGTTCAGGAGGCTGGCGGCGGCGAGGCCGCCGGGGGGCCTCCTCCCCTGGTTGACGCTTGTTAACAAGAGGGAGGGGGTCTGTCCACGTGACGTTGGAAAGCTAACCAGCCAATCACTGGTCTTGACAGTGACTGAACCCCTGGCATTTATTAAGTTCTTTCTGTAAAGTTCAAAATCTTAGGAGTGTGTGGGAATCAACAAGGTAAGTTGCCCAATAAGTGTGGGTTTTACTTCACCATGACCATTTTTCCTCTAGGAAGTGGAGATTTCATGATCTGTAATTATTGTATTTCTCTACCGCTGTGGCTTTTGCTGTCAGTCCGCGCAGGCGCGCGCTCAGTTCGTCACGTTTGCTGGGATATCTGAGCAATCTGGCAGTCGCCTGCCAAGTCGCTTGCGGTCTTGACCGGAACTTTGAAATGGAGACCCTTGACGGTCCGTGAGCAGAAATACAATATCCGCATATCATGGGATCTCTGTCCCCTCGCAGTGGTAGGGTGCTCCGCGACAGCCACCAACTAGGAACACCTCTCTGCTTCGAAAGAAAATAACTTGCTCTTTTTTCAGCACTGAGTCTTGACTGAAGTCATCGCCACAGGAAACCGGTTAAGTGTTTAAATTTAATTTTCCATAATATAAAGTTGTTGCGTTTTGTATTTCAGACCATTGCCCTCTTGAACATTTACCGTAACCCTCAAAACTCTTCCCAGTCTGCTGACGGTTTGCGCTGTAAGTTCATACAAGTTCCTTCCCTGGTTCCCTGGGCTGCGTGTCAGAGCTCAGTGTCCACTCCACCTGGTCTGCCGCTGTAGTGTCAAGGACAGCCTTTCGCTAGAGGTGTCGAGAGCTTCTGTCCCCCCGGCCCCACGGGAACCTCCGACATGTGAACTCCCGCTGCCTTTAGACAAACAGTGCCTGGAAAGGACGCCCTCCCTGCTCCGTAGCCGGGAGCTGCTGCTCTCCCTTCAACTTGACCGTCGTCCTCGGGGGGACGTGCCTGTAGTAAAATGTGCAGTCCTGTTCGTCCCCTCTTGAGAGCGACAGTATCTGAGAGTTTCTCTCGCCCCTCCTCCCCCCCCCCAAAAAAAACACCCGAAATTGTTTGGAAATTACTTCTCAGGGTTCATTTCTTACTAGACTTCTTAAACTCCCATTTCGGAGACGATGCTTTCGCGGTGAGAGCATGATTCTGAGAGCGTTTCCCAGGTGGGGTTCCTCCGAGTTGCACTGACTCCGGAGTCTTCCTCAGCACCAGCCCCATGCCAACTCAGTCTTTCGTCAGATACTTGACGTAGCTATCTCCCACTTCAGGGGTTAGTTTTCCACATTTGGAAGATGAAAGGTGTACTTGGTGGGGAAGTACGTCCAAACGGGGCATTTGGTAGACGTTACCAATTTCTCCCTGCGCTGGGAAACGTTAAAGTTAAGTTTACAAATGTTGTATTTACTGAGGGGTAGTTTTTCAAGTACAGGATACATGTTAGTATCCCTGGGGATTTCAGAAAGCTGAATTGTATATTTTATGGCCATTGGGCTGTGGAGTCAAGGCAGTCATCTGTGGAGAAACGGAAACAGATACCCTAGGCTCCTGTTCAACAAGGGGCCCAGCCCAGCCGGCTTCCCACTCACCAGGTGGTTTCCAGGCTGCAGAAGTCCATAGAGGCAGCTGTGTGCACATAAACCCTGTAGCCACGGGCCTCAGGCCGATCCCCCTTTTCTGGGGCAGCCTCCCCCCTCGGGCCGGCCCCAGACGGGGAGGCCTCCTGCTGTGCGCCCGTGGGTGAGCAGTACACACGCCCGCGGGGGGGCTTGTGAGGCCCCCCCCCCCCCCGCAACACGCGGGGCTTCCTGATGCCATGCTGACCTGATAGCAGATCGTGTGTGTCCCTGAATCCGACAGACAGTGGCAGGATTTCCTGGTTAGCCCTGGTTTTAAAATACTTGCTATTGCTTTGTTTTTTAAAGATGAAGATGAATAGGTGAAGGGAAATGCATATACGTGTATATATATGGACTTGCTAATTTTTGTGACAACCCTGCCCTGGGGTAAAAGGGATGGGAAGCTGATGGCTGAGTAACAGCAGTTAATCCCTCTCTGCCCTGACTGACCTGGGCCGCGGGGGCTTTGGTGGCAAAACCGTGTCGGAGTAGCTTTCCTCGTCTCTTTACCTGCAATCCACAGACTCTTGTTTGCGTGTGCTACACAGTCAGAGTTTAGCTGTACCAGGTATTCCCATTACGGGGCCCACATCCTACGAATTAAATGAAACTCTGATTCTTCAACTTAGGAAGAGAATCAGTTTAAGCTGATGAACCTGCAGCAGAGCCTCCGCATAAATTTCATCCAGCCGGGTTCATCCGTTTCCTAAGCTCACATCCCTTGTTAACAAACTTTTTCGTCTGTAGAAGTGCGAGTCCCAGTTTGGGAATGTTTCCGTAAGAAAACTGGGTGTTTTTTGGAACATGTTAGTTAGAATATATTGAGTCGTGGAGATGCCTTTCCAGTTGACCAGTTTCTTAATCAGTCATATCTGTTCTTCCTAGTCATTTGGTTGAGTGAAAAATTTTAAGCAGAGCACAGAAGATAAAGTATGCCCACTATCAAGCATTGTCCAATCGTACTTTCCAGAAGTTATTAAAATACGCTGTTCTATAGCAAGAGAAGAGAAAATACCACGACTCTATTGGTAGTTACCACCAAAACTTGGCTCTCGGTACTGCTGGCGCTTAGAGCCTACGAATGCCGTTTCTCCTCAGTTTTTCCGATGTGGAGAAGGAAATGTAAACATTCAAATCTACCCTTTGGAATGGGCTTCTCTTCTCCTGACCAGTTTTTCTGTTGTTTACAATTTGACTTCTACTCAGGCAAGGAGGTCATGTTCTGATAGGCACCAAGAGTAGGTGTTGCCCAGCGCATTCGGTAACTTTTCTCTAAAGCCAGCTGGGTTCCTGAAATTCCAAAATAACTAAAATGCGGGAATTCGCCCTTCCCCCATGAATTAGAAAGTAAATTCACACTATCTTCAGAATCAAAAGACTCCAGAGCTTGTCCTTAGAGATGAGGTTTCCCAGGGTGCTAGGAGACTGCTAGATCCCCATGCCTTCGCTCCGCTGCCTTCGGCGGGGTGCGCCAGGTGAGGCCGCCAGTCCGAGGAGTATGGTCGTGGAAGGTGACAATGGAAGATGAAACTGGCCCAGCCTTGAAGCCACTCGGCCTTTGTAGGCTCCCTGAAGTAGCTGTGTGGAACATTGGTTTATTGACATGCCCGCTTTGTGATTTCTCAGATTTAGGTCAAGAGAATTCTAGAATTTGAATGGTAAAATTTGGTAGAGAGGGTGATTATGGGGATAAAACGTAAATTTGAAAAATCTACCCACACAATGGACATGATTTCACTTAGTGCATGTGAATTATGAAGGATAAACGATGAAAATAGTTCTGAAGTATAAAACAAGAATGCTTTCTTCATCAAAGCATTGTAACCATCCCTCTGTCCAGAGGCATTTGAGGTGCTGTGATTGAACTTGGTAATTCTCCTACTGAGTATTTATTTATGGTCATTTGGGTTTTAATCGCATCAGAAAGAATTTTGTAATAGCGTGTGGCTCATAATCTGCGAAAAATTAGTCAGGAACATTAGCTCTTAATCACTTATCCTGATTCTACTGTTATTTTAACGTAACATAGAGGAAAAAAAATCAGTGTGATTCCTTGGCCTCTATTTTAAACCGTAAACGGAAGAAAACTTTCATTTAAAAATTTCTTGAGAGTATTTTTTTTTCCTGGCATTTTCTGAAAATGTGGCCCTTTGATGCTGATTAAAACTTGTGATTCTCATAGCCAGCGCTGAGGCTGTCATAAGGGGCATGTAAGGACCTCGGCACACTATAAACCCGTGACGATTGGCTGTCACGCCGTACCTCCGTGCTCCAGTAGAGCGCAGCTCTGTCGTGTCTCCTCTCTAGATAACCTAATGTGTGTCACTGTAGCGGTGAGGTAAACCAGAGCCCCGGGCCCCGGCGCCCCGCTAACCTCCAAGGTTTCTGTTGTTCGCAGGCGCCGTGAGCGACGTGGAGATGCAGGAGCACTATGACGAGTTTTTCGAGGTGAGCACCTGCTGTGGAAAGGTGTGGGCCCCGTGTCCCTTCTCCAGAAGGATGTGTGGCTCCCCCCCCCCCCGGCAGCCGCACTTAAATCCGAGCCGTGTTGGGTGACTCCTCTGCCGCAGAGGGGTTGCAACCCTTGACCCACTGCGCCCCCCGCAGGAGGTGTTTACAGAAATGGAGGAGAAGTACGGCGAGGTGGAGGAGATGAACGTCTGTGACAACCTCGGGGATCACCTCGTAGGGAACGTGTACGTCAAGGTAGGACGGGGCGCCCAGGGCTTGGGGGTGGGGAGGCCGCCCTCGGGGCTTCCTGGGAGGGGAGTAGAGGAGGGAACGTGCGCCTTGGGGTCTTAGCGGGACTCTCACGTCCTCAACACCCAGCGCTGGTCATGACCGTGGGTGCGCCCACCCGACGGGCTTCAGTCCGGGCAACGGCCTGTGGGCGCCAGAGGGACGGGCAGCACCCTGCGGCCACTGCCCTTTGGGGTTGGGACTGTCCTGGCTGGTGCCGGCGGGACATCTGGCTGTGGGAGAAGCAGGTTCGTGTGCGTGGTTCCCCCTCCTTGTTTTTGTTGTGGGCTCCAGGACCCACAGACATCAGTGCATTTGCTCTTTTAACCAGTTCAATTTGAAAGCGAAGGCAGCGTTGGTATGATCTCGGATCATCACAGAATTAAGGGATCTGATTTTATTTTATCTTATGTTTTTCTTTCTGAGAGCGCGCGCACGAACAGGGGAGGGGCAGAGAGAGAGGGAGACACAGAATCTGAAACAGGCTCTAGGCTCTGGGCTGTCAGCTCAGAGACTGATGCAGGGCTTGAACCCACGAACTGTGAGATCATGACCTGAGCCGAAGTCGGGTGCTTACCCTACTGAGCCCCCCAGGCGCCCCAAGGGATCTAATTTTAATGAAAGATGGTCTGTTAATGTGATTGAAAACCCCACTCCGCCTCGTTCCGCCCGTGTGAGCACGCGTGTCTGGGTCGGTGACTGAAGACCCGCAGGTGCACGTGAGGGCAGCAGGCGCGTCTGCTTCTTTCCAGTTTCGCCGTGAGGAAGATGCGGAAAAGGCCGTGATCGACTTGAACAACCGCTGGTTTAACGGGCAGCCGATCCACGCCGAGCTGTCCCCGGTGACCGACTTCAGGGAGGCATGCTGCCGCCAGTACGAGATGGGGTAGGTGACAGGGTGCAGCGGGGGGGCGGGGACAGGGCAGAGGGGGGTCCGGGGGGGCGGCATGTGACATGGTGGCCTCTGCTTTCCCCCCCCCCCGCCCCCCAGGGAGTGCACACGGGGCGGCTTCTGCAACTTCATGCACCTGAAGCCCATCTCCAGAGAGCTGCGGCGGGAGCTGTACGGCCGCCGGCGCAAGAAGTGAGTACTGGGGCGCCCGGCCGTAGTGTGAGGGCCGCCCCGAGGATGTAGTGTGCGTCTGGAGAGCTGGAAACGTCCTCTTAAAAGGATGTCCCACCCGCGCACTCGTCTTACGAGACCTTAGTGCGGCGGGGGAGCAAGAGCCCTTGGCGCTGGCTTCATGTGCGCCGCGTCTCGGCGCAGGGAGCGCGGCCTCCCGTAGGTCCAGCACGTGCAGCAGGCGTCCGCGGGGCTCCTGGGCTCCATAGGTTTGGGCAGGTTCCTTTGGTTTGCTTTTGGGGCGGGGGGCCCACAGGCAGAAGGGAGCGTGGCCCCGGCCGCTCCCGGTGTCTGAGTGCAGGCGGGGCTGCGCTCGGACGGAGAGCCGAGGCGTCGGGAGGTGGCGAGTCGCTTTCCCTGCCCGGGGGGCTCTCACTTGAGCCCCGGGAGACGCGGACGTTGGTGATTCCGTCTCTGTGTCAACACGGAGCATCGCCGGCGGGGGGGGGGGGGGGGGCGGTTGGTGTTTCCGGGGCACTGCAGCCGGAGACCGTCCCTGAGCCTCCGAGCTGGCGCTCCGGAAGCACAGGACACGGAGGACATCGTGCCTCTGACCCTGACGTGCCCCTGCTTCCCGGACACGGGGACGCCTGTCCACAGGGCGTGCGGTTTAGTGGCGGCGCTCGTCCTCTCCTGGTCGTGCCGTCCACTCGGCCTCGTGGGCTCGGCGGCGCGCCTTACTCGGGATGCCACAGTTCTGCTTCTCTTCCTTGGTCGCAGGCACAGGTCGAGGTCCCGGTCCCGGGAGCGTCGCTCTCGGTCTAGAGACCGTGGGCGCGGCGGCGGCGGTGGCGGCGGCGGCGGCGGTGGGGGACGGGAGCGCGACCGGAGGCGGTCGAGAGACCGTGAAAGATCCGGGCGATTCTGAGCCGGGCCGTTTTTACCGTGTGTCTGCTAGACAGTGTTGTAGTTGATCGACCAAACCAGTTCGTAACGGGAATTTTTTTTAAAAAACAACAAAAAAAAACAAAGATGGGTTTCTGAATAAAATTTGTAGTGATACAGTTCTTCTGGTGTAGCTCATTTCCCATGGAAAGTCGCTAACCCTCGCTTCCTGCAGCTCTGCGTGCCCCCCCTCGGGGGGGCGGTTTCAGGTGCGGACGAAGCCATGGCTCTAAACCCGGAGGGCGTGAGGTGAGGCGCCCCGTCCGTTACAGGAAAGGAGGTTCACAGCGGGAGGGAGCGGTCACCTGTTTCCAGTCCCCCGCGTGCCCACGAGTGACGCAGCGTTTCCGCCAACACTGCCGGGACCCTGGGGTTGGGAGGGTGGGGGGCGGGGGGTGCCCTTGACTTCCTGCCGGGGCAGCGAGTCACACTTGGACGGGACGCTGGCCTTGCTGGTGTTGGCAGGAGAGGGACCTTTCGGTCAGGTGCCATCAGTGGCCCCATCCGTGTCACGTTTCTCTTACCCAGGAATTTTCTAGCCTTGTTCAAAGAGCCTCCACGCAGTCCTGGAGCAGGAGTGGGGCCTAAACATGTACGTGCCCAGAGCCGCACAAGAGCCGCTGGCTCCGGCCCCCCTCGTCGCCAGGCTGCCAGAGCGGCCTGGGCACAGACGCCCTCTGGTGCATGGCCGGCTGGGGCGCTTCCTCCGAGGAGGTCGCCTCTGGTGTGCTCCAGCATGCTCAGGGACTGCCACTCGCCACCCCTGGGTGCCCATGCCCTGAGCCTGGGACCCCGGCTCGTGGGTGCGAGAGGGGCGGCGTGCACGGGTCCACCTGCCTCTCTGTCTGCCTGCTTGGCCTCCCGGATGCAGTGGACTCGGGCCTGGGTGGCGCCGCTGTCACTGGCGCATGGCTGGGCCTGATGAGGAGCCTTCCATCCAGTGCCTCCGGCACATGTGGCGCTGCCTGAAGAAACCAACCCCGTGAGCAGCGTCAGCTGCGGATTTGCCAAGTGGGGCTGTTAGAATTGTCCTTGTCAACATTTACCGTCATTTCATGAAGCGTTTTTTTATCATGGTAATTCTTAAACATGCAGAGGGGCGCCCGGGGGACTCTGTCGGTTAAGCATCTGACTTCAGCTCAGGTCATGATCTTGCAGTTTGTGGATTCAAGCCCCAAGTCGGGCTCTGTGCTGAGAGCTCAGAGCCAGGAGCTGCTTCCGAGTCTGTGTCCCTCTCTCTGCCCCTCCCCTGCTCACGTGCACTCTCCCCCTCTCTCTCAAAAATAAGTAAACATTTAAAAAACTTTTAAACATGCAGAGAAGTCGAGACCGTCATAAGGCCCCAGATGCTTTAACTGCAGATGCGTCCCTGATGGGGGGACGTGACCGCACTCCAGCATCAGGACGGATAAGCTCGTGCTGGCCAAGTCCCCGGTGCCCTTGTGTCCCCTGTGCTCTCGGGGCCGGGGTTTGGGAGCCGCTGGCTCAGCCAGCACCACGCGGGCGTGCTGGCCGGCGTGGGCAAAGCAGAGTGGGGCCTGGTGTTGGGGACCCGCTCCGGGTAGGGGGGACCCGCTCCAGGCCGGCCCGCCATGAGTGGTCGGCGGTCTCCGCGACAGGGAACCAAGAAGGATGGATGGGCCCTGGAATCGGGTGTGACCCGGCGCCTCTGGCCTCCGGCCACCCAAGTTCCAGCCCCCAGACAGAGGGCAAGGTGGTGGCCTCCCGTTGACCAGGAAAGACACCACATCCCCCAGGACACCCAGGTGTCTGATGCCCCGTGGACCTGATCAAGTGCGACTTCTTTCCCTTTTCTTTTTCACATTTCTTGTGGATGAGGCACGTGACGCATACAGCAAAGTACTGAACACACGTGGAGCAGGTGCCGCCCCACCCCCACAGGGCTCTGCTCTTCCCAGACGGAGCGGCGCTCAGCGTTCGTGGTGGTTTTGTTAGGGTCTCTGTAAGCGTCAGTCAACATTTCTGTTTTGCCAGCTTTTAAGTCTTTTATAAATGGAATCTTTATTTTGTTTAATGGTTGTTTTTGTGAGAGACAGAGACCGAGCTTGAGTAGGGGAGGGACAGAGAGGGGGAAACAGAATCCGAAGCAGCTTCAGGCTCTGAGCTGTCGGCAGAGTCTTAACACGCAGCCTGAATTCCCAAACCACAAGATCAAGACCTGAGCCGATCACCCGGATGGCCCCGCCCCCTGTGCCCCCACTCCCACCTCCAGGCCTGCTGACCCCGAAAAGCCCATGGGCAACACCCCGTGCGCGGACTCTTTCTGTGTAACTTGTCCTGCCCCACTGGCTGCGAGGAGGGAGGTGGCGGGAGGCCAGCGGGAGGTGCCTCCAGGCACAGAGTCCCCCATGGACGCGCCAGGTTGTGCTGCGGAAACACGACCCCGCCCTCTCCGACTCGCCATCAGGGTTGTCTGACAGAGCTGACTAGAGCATGAATTTGGGTTTTGGGACCCAAAGACCCTGTAACACCTCCTCCGTCCGTAGTGTGACCTTGGCACAGCCCGCCCGCGGGACACCCGGCCTCCAGGACGGCGCCCTCTGCCAGGCGGGCCAGGGAAGAAATGAGAGGTCCCTGAGTTCACACCTTTGAGACAGATCTGTGTTGTGTGTTGGGGAAGTGCCGACAGGTCAGGGACAAGCTGTCACCATGTCACCCGCAGGTCAGACACCTCCACGCTTCCTGGAGCGGGAAGGATGCAGTGAGTACCGGGCAGGCGCAGCCCCATCTCTGGGCCGGGGGGTCTAACTCCCCGTGGAAGCAGATACTGGATTTTAAGGACTGCCACCCCGTCTCCCAGTATTCCTCTGCGTTCCCTCTGGGCCCACTAAGTAGAAGCCATGGGAGGCCTAGAGTGGGCTAGGGAGGGACCCGGCCCCGTGCAGGCTGCTGCCAGTTCCACAGACAGGTGGCCTTGACCCCAAGAGGGTTTTGAACAAGCGAGCCCCGTGCAGTGTTGGCCTCCAGAGCCACCCTGCAGGCAAGGCTGAGCCTTCCTGCGTGCGTCCCGTGTTACGTGACACCCAGACCCCTGTCCCAGGAGGCAGCTGTGCCAGAGATCGTGTGAGAGCAAAGCCAGCCATCTCAAACCGCTGTCCCTCCCTGGGGGAGAGCACATCCGGAGCAGAGTCCCCTTCCTCCTCAGAGTTCATTCAGAGATACTGAAGCGCAAAGTCTCTTCCTCCTCTGCGTCTTCTCTAATGGAAGCTCTTCAACCAGAGTCCCGGGTCCAGCGGATGGCTTCCCTTGCAGGCCGGGCCCGAGAATAGAGCCGCTGCAAGTCCCCGTGGTCCGTCAGAGAAGACCCATTGCCCGGATTGGGTTCCGATAGGCTGGCTGCCCCTTGGGCCATGCAAGGTAGCTTTTAGGGAGGGGACCCGCCATCCATCCCCTTGGGAGCTAATGTTGGAAGGAGCACAGAGAGCTCTCGTGACCAGAATGGGGCCCGTTCCGGGACAGACTACATTCTTGTGCTCAGAAGATGCCAGGCATGTCCAGATGTCCTTGGCTCACTCAGAGCCGGGCCTTCCTTGGGGGGCACATGAGACTCAGAACAGCCCCCCCATATCTGGGGGACAAATACTCAGACACCTGTTTTAAGTCCCATGTTTAAGTCCCATGTTTGTTTGTTTGTTTGTTTTTTTAACAAGTTGAATCACGTAAAATTGCCATTGTTGTAGGTCAAGTAAGACCAAACGAGCAATTTCACGTGGTCCAACCTAGCGTATCCCAAGGTTAGGTTGACTGCCATCCCATGGTGGAGGGGGGAGGGGCAACAAGCTCACTGGGGAGATGATGCAAGTCTGAATACTGGGTCCACATCCTGGCTCTGCTCACCGCTAGATGTAGGTGTTGGGCAAGCCACTCGACCTCCCTGCGCCTCACTTGTCTCCTCTGTAAGGTGACGATTGAGTTGTTGTGAGGATTCCATTTGTTCATTTCAGCAAAGTTCCCGAACAGTGCCTGGCACGTGCGTTGTAAGCGCTCGCTAACGCTGAGTTAATTGTTATTAGGAGCAAAACTGTGAGTAACCGAAGGTGGAATGCGGTGAGTGGGGAGAAAAGTCCACGGGTAACCAGGAACCCCAGCAGGCCTGTTTTACAAAATGAAGAGCTGACAGGTGGTGTTAAAACAGTGAGTGTAAAACTCACAGGCTGAACGTGACAACAGTGTTGAAGGAAGTAATGGAGGCCAAATAAATAGGCATCCCATGTTCATGGACCGGAAGGCTTACTCCCCACATCAGAAGGAATAGAAGAATAAATTTAATCAAGGGAGTGCAAGACTTGTATACTGAAAATTAGAAAACGTCGCTGAAAGAAATGAAAACAAGACCCAAACAGAATCTCCTCATGTTCACAGATGGGAGTGTTTAACACGGCTAGGATGCCGGCACTCCCCCGTGGTGGCCTTCAGGTCCCCTGTAATCTCTGTCACAGTCCTGACAGCCTTTTTTGCAGAAATAGAAAAGCTGGTCCTAAAATTCATACAGAAGTTTAAAGGATCCTATTAGCCAAGAAAATCTTAAAAAACAAAGTTGGAAGATTTGAACTTCTTGATTTCAGAACTTAGGACAAGTTACGGTAGTAAAAAGGCTGTGGTGCTGGGACGGAGAGAGACATCGTGGTCGATGGGACAGAATTGAGGGTCCAGAAGGGAACCTTTACTTCTCTGCTCAGTTGATTTTGATAACGGGCGCCAAGACTGGTCAGCAGGGAAAGAACAGTCTTTTCAACAAATGGCGTTGGGCCACTCGTATCCACATGCAGAAGGAGGCTGGATTCTTAGCTCACAGCATATATGAAATATTAACTCAAAATGGATCAGAAGCCTGAATATAAGAAGTAAAATCATGGGGCCCCTGGGGGGCTCAGTCGGTTGAGTGTCCAACTCTTGGTTTCAGCTTAGCTCATGATCTCACGGTTTGTGAGTTCAAGCCTCTCGTTGGGCTCTGTGCTGAGCACGGAGCCTGCTTGGGGTCCTTTTCCTCATCTCTCTCTGCCCCTCCCCTTCTCTCTCTCTCTCTCTCTCTCTCTCTCTCTCTCTCAAAATAAACAACCTTTTAAAAAATGGCTGATTTCTGGAGTGTCTGGGTGGCTGA